CGTACCACCAACTCCCTCTCTGAACGATAAACCATTATCCTTATACCTCCAGTGACATCATCCTATTGTTCTCCAGTCGGGTTAAATCTCATAACCCGTTCATATTGTGACACGTGAATGTTTCTCGCTCGAAATTTATTTTTCATTTGATATGTAAAATCGAGTGACAAATATTTTCTTTATATTCCCGAGAATCGAACATAAACCTTCGAGGTAGAAGCCCAGTGAGTGTACTACTTGGCTTCTGATAAATCACATGGTTTTAAGAATGTCTTTCCCCAAGTACCTGAACCCCAGCAACAGATATTTTTCGCCCGTTTCCTAACGTTCATGGAAAGTATGTTTGAAACATAAAAATGTTGATAAATGTTGTTTTAAGTTTTCTTTTTCGGTTTATAAGCTAGATAGAGATTTAAACCCCTCATCTTCGGTTTTAGCCCTTGGACTCGGGTTTTGAATCTCCTAAACAATACTGACTTGTTTTATCCTTCACAAAAGGTATTTGATACAAGAACTAGGCATCCCCATGGGCATCAATTACACCCTTTCCCTTTTTGTCCAGCAATATTCCACCAGCTCCAACACTTAGAATCTACATTTCAAACGACTCTTGTTGCAAAATTCAAAGCCTTAGTAAAGCTTTCAAACTGTTTTGTTGAAGACAAATGGACGACAGTTCAAAATTTGATGCATTAAATAACATACCATAATTTGAATGCGTTTTGAGTGCGTGATTTCTTTTGTTGTTTGATGAGGGTTACGGTGAGCGGATTGAAGCGTTCAAATAGAAATTATCACGTGAGTGTGTTTGGGGATGGTAAATATCCTGTATTCTACCATGAATTTGGAATTTATTCGATTCTGATTGGTCAATCAGAGGCTATTAAATCACAATAAACCCCCTCTGATTGGAACAGCTTGTTTGACGGAAGCTAATATTCATAGAATGGTACAATTTTCAGTCATTGTCGGTAGGCATATTTAAATAATTATATCTACAATTACAGGTTACAAAATGCACAGATGCGGTTACTACAATATTCAAAGGATGTGTGGCAATACATTTCGTGCAGAAAACACGATAGAAATCTACAAAGGGAATGTATTTACGTTTAGGAAACAACAGAGAGATTGGAATTTTGGCGCTTTTCTATGTACGACTGTGACGTCATATCTTTTGCGTCACAATGAGCGATATGACGTCATAATGGTGACGCGCAATGTAGAGCGAAAGCCTTGCAAAGCTTGCTTTGTTTTCTTTAGGGATGCCCACCTCATGTTAGCTTACCAAGTTGCCGTGCTTGTATGCCTTCAATGCCTGTCATTTGTTCGAATGAAGTATTACGGTGTAAACAAACTTCTTGCGTATATACAGCGCCATATTTTGTTCGGTGATTCCGTAACTCACATCGATAACCTACTCAAAACACTGAACTCAACCCATGCCGCTTCACTCAGTATATTTGCTAACAGCAAAGAGTTCGCGTTTTATTTGGTCATGGTAGAATGGAGATAAACATACTGTGTTTTCAATGTACGCGCGTTCGGTTCCAAATTCAATTTAGCGGGGTTAAATCTACAGGTAACCTAGCTCTACATTGAAAGCACAGTATGTTTATCTCCTCATTAGGAATAAACATTGTATTTAGCGAGCCTTGGCGAGCTAAATACATAGTGTTTATTCCTAATACAGGATATTTACCATCCTCAAACACACAAGCGTGATAACCTCTTTATCATATAATGTCATTCTTTAATTCTGTGCTTGAAAATCGCTCTCCCTCTCTCACAAACATTACCTAAATATTGCGAGTTTTCCTGGAATGCGCGTATTAATATTTATTACGTCACAGGGTAAGTGATGTGTCAGTCGGACAGTGACAGTAGCCAATATAGTTCCAACTGATATCTGTTTCTTATACAGTGGCGAAGCAACATATACGCAAAACAACAATTGTGTTTACTTGCATTTCGCGGCAATCCATCGGTCTGTCCGCTAGAGTAACTGCCCTTTGTCAAAGGGAAGCTACTCTAACCCTAGTCTATGAGACGTCTAAGCTCCTTCCCAGCGCGTGACACCTTCGTTACACTCTCGGTAACATCGATGCCACCAGTGTGGGCGCGGCCAGTACAAGAATCTTGAAATTTACCCTCTAACTCCAAATGTAGTAACGTTGATACCTTTGTTTATGTCTTTGGGAATGGCATGATATTTCATTTTGAAAAGGTTTAAGACTGACTATGTTTTCCAGACGAATTTACTTTGTTGTTTTAATAATCGGATTGGTTCGAGATTGCAGACTAACGGAAAATCAACCAACTTCTCATCTACATTCTTACTATATCAATAACACGATAGTTTTAATGATACAGAAATTCAAATTGACAAACGAAGAAATTAATATAGCAGCGATAAGTGTATTCGGAATCACGACAGTCGTCACTTGTTTGTAAACATAACGGTCATTCGGTTGCGAGTTCAACTCCAAGCATGGTTGTGACCACCTATTCACAGTGGGGAGTTTTGACTGGTGGCAGCGATAGTATAGAGAGCTCCGCGAACGGTCTGTCGCTGTGAGGAGCTTGTGAGACGTCATGGCCACCTTCAGACGTTGTTGACTGTCGGCCTGTCCTGTCAAAACGTTAAGAAGTGCAATCAGATGTACACACCGCGACAAAACGAAAAAAGGTAACAATTCAAACATATTTCGGCCAAATCCAACTATTTTGACTTGTGGAAAAGGTTTCAAGCCACAGAGGTCTACAAGCAAAGATGTGGCTGCTGATCCAGCTTGGCTAGGCCTAGTGCCCTCGAAATTTACATCTCCAAAGTTGCCCAAACTTATAAAATGCCTTAGCGACGTCGCAGCTAGACCCTAATTTTAAGTATATTAGACTGTTCTTTTGATAATGATAGCAATTATCTCTGTAGTTTATCCAGATTCCCGATGGTTAATTCTGACTCGATTGCCGAATGACAGGGGCGACGCCATGTTTGTTTAATAACACTGAAAGTAGTCCCTACTTGACCTTTGATATTTGCATCTCTATCCGCATGTGACCCCAACGGGAATCGTTTTTATCCTTTGGCTTTATCCAGCCGAGAAACCTACCCATTATGTGATAAAAGATTTTATGTGTCCCAATGTTACAGAAAAGTGACAAAAAATGTCTGATAAAAAGGTCCCGATATATATTTTGTTCCATTTTTCTGAGGTGGACGATCGACTTGCTCTTATACGTTTGTGACAGATAACAAGCAGAACATCTGGTATGAACACAATTTGACAGTGATTCATAAACACATGCTTTTATGGTCAGAATCATACAATGGAATGGCTTTTAGCAGAGATTTCTTATGAATATCGTTAGGCTTTGCCACTTTTTTTTACGCCTGTGAAGTAACCAGGTAATACAATAAAACTTTCTGAAGGACTGACGATACTACTACTACTACTTCTACTACTACTACTACTACTACTACTAAAACTACTACTACTAGAATCATACAATGGAATGGCTTTTAGCAGAGATTTCTTATGATTATCGTTAGGCTTTGCCACTTTTTTTTTACGCCTGTGAAGTAACCAGGTAATACAATAAAACTTTCTGAAGGACTGACGATACTACTACTACTACTACTACTACTACTACTACTACTACTACTACTACTACTACTACTACTAAAACTACTACTACTAGAATCATACAATGGAATGGCTTTTAGCAGACATTTCTTATGAATATCGTTAGGCTTTGCCACTTTTTTTTACGCCTGTGAAGTAACCAGGTAATACAATAAAACTTTCTGAAGGACTGACGATACTACTACTACTACTACTACTACTACTACTACTACTAAAACTACTACTACTAGAATCATACAATGGAATGGCTTTTAGCAGACATTTCTTATGAATATCGTTAGGCTTTGCCACTTTTTTTTACGCCTGTGAAGTAACCAGGTAATACAATAAAACTTTCTGAAGGACTGACGATACTACTACTACTACTACTACTACTACTACTACTAAAACTACTACTACTAGAATCATACAATGGAATGGCTTTTAGCAGAGATTTCTTATGATTATCGTTAGGCTTTGCCACTTTTTTTTACGCCTGTGAAGTAACCAGGTAATACAATAAAACTTTCTGAAGGACTGACGATACTACTACTACTACTACTACTACTACTACTAAAACTACTACTACTAGAATCATACAATGGAATGGCTTTTAGCAGAGATTTCTTATGATTATCGTTAGGCTTTGCCACTTTTTTTTACGCCTGTGAAGTAACCAGGTAATACAATAAAACTTTCTGAAGGACTGACGATACTACTACTACTACTACTACTACTACTACTACTACTACTACTAAAACTACTACTACTAGAATCATACAATGGAATGGCTTTAAGCAGAGATTTCTTATGATTATCGTTAGGCTTTGCCACTTTTTTTTTACGCCTGTGAAGTAACCAGGTAATACAATAAAACTTTCTGAAGGACTGACGATACTACTACTACTACTACTACTACTACTACTACTACTACTACTAAAACTACTACTACTACTAGAATCATACAATGGAATGGCTTTTAGCAGAGATTTCTTATGATTATCGTTAGGCTTTGCCACTTTTGTTTACGCCTGTGAAGTAACCAGGTAATACAAAAAAACTTTCTGAAGGACAGACGATACTACTACTACTACTGCTACTACTACTACTACTTCTACTACTACTACTACTACTACTACTACTACTACTACTACTACTACTAGTACTACGACTACGACTACGACTACAACTACTACTGCTAAATCTAACATAAATCACAGTCATTGCAACCATCCCCAGTTCTGCCACTTTTATGCTACAAGCTACCATCATTCCTCGCCTACGCTGCCACTGAACTACTACACCTACAAAAGTTATTACTCATACGTGTACGGGACTGCAGTCATAATAACAATGTTAAACAACTACTTTCAGATTGGACTTGTGCTACCTCTGTGGCTGACAGTGGTTCTGATGTCAACAGATGGATCATCACTTGATTGCCAGCCGTGCAGATGTTCTGAAACAAAGGGTGAAATCATTGCATATTGTACAAATAGATCCTTATCATCAGTTCCCAACAACCTCCCGTACAATGTAACAGACCTAAGACTGAGTCATAACAGAATGAGCAATACTGGCAAATATTTGAAAAAGTACACATTTTTAAAAAGGCTTGATCTGTCATTCAACAAACTCTACACGCTTGGGAGAAATGCTTTTGTCGGACTTACAGAGTTGGAAGTTCTAATACTTAGCCACAATCATTTATCCTTGTCCAAAAGTGTTTATCCTGTACGGATGTTCCGGTTCCAGAAGAAGCTCAGGGTTCTGAAAATGGAAAGTAATTCTCCGGTAGAATATGAAGGACATCTCAATAATTCGCTGGCAGAAATATATTTACTTCAGTATCCCGACGAAATCTTTAAAGATTTGGTTTCCCTTGAGGAACTTCACATAGATGGGCTCAGGAATCCAGTGTTTGGAGAAGGATTTAAATACACCAATATCACAAGGCTGGTGATTGGAGGGAATTGTGACATGAGACACGTGTCAAATGTAACATTCCGCTATTTGAGGGGAATAACGCACCTCGATGTTACAAGTTGCGAAGTAACTGACATTGGCCAGTCTGCATTTGAGCCTTTCCAAAACATTCACACGTTAGACTTGTCTAACAATCCCAATCTTGGGTTGGACAAGGCTTGTGCGAGTTTGTACGGTCTTCGTAATTCTTCATTGAAAATTCTAAAAGCAAATAAAATTGTCAGATATCAGGGAACTGGCATTCTCGTATCTGTGGAACACGTAAAATATATGACTGATATGGTCCTTGAGGGATTACATCTAGACGACAACCGGATAGAATTACTGGATCCTCGAGTGCCCGTCCTCATGCCTAAAACCCTTAAAACTGTTTCCTTTCGAAGAAACATGTTTTTGTTTGGTATTTACCTTCTAACAATGACATCAATGACCAACCTGCAGTTTGTGGATAGTTCTTCAGGTCATTGGTCTCATGCTCGTCCATTTTCAGTACAGGCAAAAGCTCAACTTGCTTCTATTCTCACAAACCCTCATATGGATTATGCTGACATCTCACGACATGACGAAAGTGGCAGTACAGTTTGCTCTGTCGCCAACTCAAATAAACATGATTTTTCGCAATTTGGAGATATTTCTGTTGATGACATACCGTGGCCGGGAAATTTCACCATTAATATTCCACCGAATGCAACACATGGAAACGCCAGCAACTCAAAACTGAGTTACATCATCCCTAGAATTACCTTTGGTAAAAACAGATTGAAGGTTTTGGATCTGTCTTATAATTTCTTTACACAGTGGTCTGGGCCGATTATCGGGCTTCATCATCTGGAATTCATTGATGGATCGCACAATTATTGTGAATTAATAAGCATACACTTCTTTGATGATTTCCTTTCCTTGAGAATACTGAACATCAGCTACAATTATCTTGGCTATTCTTTACAGAATGAAACATTTCGTAAGCTATCCAATCTTGAACATCTGGACCTATCAAATAATAAACTAAATACTCTTCCAAGAGACATTTTTAAGGGCTTAGAATATCTCACATACCTGAGTGTTCGGTCCAACTATTTGAATACGTGGAATGCCAATATTGGGGATCTGAGGAATCTGAAACTTTTGGACCTCTCTGAAAATCTCTTTGAGCAGCTTGATGTAACCTTTAGAAATCAGATTGATGACAATACAAGCAAAGGATTGCTTATAGTGCTTCAAAGGAACCGATGGAGATGTACATGTGAGACGCTGAGCTTCTTAAAGTGGCTAAACATTAAAGGCAGCAGTGTTTATGATATGGAGGAACTATCCTGTACAGAGGTAGATGGTGGCGAAAAGGACATGGCCAATCTACCAGAAATCATCATGGAACTGGAGAAGAACTGTGCATCCTACACTGGGGTGGTGATTGGGATGGTCAGTCTCATTATGCTGGTCTTGGCATTAACCGTGACAGGCGTCGTGTACAGATACAGGTGGAAACTGAGGTACCTCTACTACGTTGCCCGGAACAGACACAGAGGGTACCTGCCTGCTGTAGAGGCGGAACAGGAGTTCGAGTTTGATGCTTTCATATCCTACGCTGACGAGGACCGTGGACTTGTGGTAAGGGACATGAGGCAGAAGCTTGAAGAGATACAAGGACTAAAGCTCTGTATCCATCACCGAGATTTCCTCGTTGGAGAGGCTATTGCAGCCAACATCCTGAACGCTGTCAAATCCAGCAGGAAGACTGTGATCATCCTGTCCAGACATTTCTTGAGGAGCTACTGGTGTAAGTACGAAGTTGAGATGGCCAAGATGGAGAGTATCTACACTGGACGGAACGCACTGCTGGTTGTAGTCCTAGAGAACATCCCTGTGAAGGACCTGACTCCTGATATTGTGGAGTTGATGCGTCAAGATTCCTATGTAGAGTACACGGATGATCAGGATGGTCAGGAAGTGTTCTGGCAGAATCTGGAGCGGGCAATACGTACAATGTAGTGTGACGATTCTAATGCAGGGGCCTTCTATGTAGTTTAAGGTTCCTTGCATAATTGCAACATTTTCAGTTCGTTTACACACTTATCTGTCTGCCTATCTAGTAGTTACATATTATCAGCGTTCATTAATGAATTAATGAATATATATATGAGTGAGTGAGTTTGGTTTAACACCGCTTTGAACTCTAAAGTTTAGTTGTATAATATGTGCAACTAAATTCAATAAATTAAATTTCACATATTAACACACCTTTCTGAAAAAGTGAGCTTATGTCATGGTATTTTTGTTTGGCGTTCGTCGTCGGCGTTTGTAAAATTCTCAGAAATCATGGCACAAATGACACCTGACTTGTTCAATAACTTCGAAATTAGATTCGAAATTTAATCAATTTTGGTACATGTTGGGTTCAAACACAAATGCCCCTTAATTGCGACATTTTACAAATGGACGCCACATTGGGGATTGTGAAACATGGCTGAAATATATCTGTTCACAATATAAACAGTTCGGTAAGACACACCTTTTCATACAACTGTTCTTGTGGTCATACTGAAATTTGTATTTAGGACGAAAATAACGAAAACGTTTATAAAAACACCATTGACCTTGATTGCATCATTGACACAACACTTTATACCGGATCGGTTCGGTCGAGCAGCCTTGGGTTAAAGCGTTCGCTCGCCACGCCGAAGACCCGGGTTTGATTCCCGACATGAGTACAATGTGTGAAGCCCATTTCTGGTGTCCCCCGGTTGATATTGCTGGAATATGTCTAAAAGCGGCGTAAAACCATACTCCCTCTCTCCCCCCCTCACTCACTCATATCAGATCCTTGAGAGAATTTTATTGATTGATGTTGGATGCATTATTAATGTCACATTTTGAATTCAATAAGACTAAATATATGTAATGAAGATCCTGGATGCTTTATGAATTAAGGCTACTAGACAACGCCAATGTCACTATAAAACTACTTTTAATTAGTATATTACCTTCACATAACACTGGCTTCACATGCAATATCACTTCATTGTAATGTATGCTCTGCAACAAGAGATGAAGTCACAGCAGATGAACCCTTGGTTGATATTTACTTCTAATATCATCAAAAGTAGTACATACAAGTAGCAAATGGTATTCGTCATCTATACCTCGATCACATCAAGAACAGTTTCTCATGCCTTTATCGATTTTTTGCCACCTCCCTTCTTTTTTTCTCAACCGTAATAGTCCCCCTTTAAACTTCACTAAAATATTTCGAAGATTTAACTCGCTAATTTCAATAAAAAAAATTTCTGGTTTAAGCAAACTTTTATATTCTCTATAAAGATATATATTTTTGACTACATGTAAATACGTTTCTAAGAAACATATAATGTCACGTGACCTAAAAGAGTCAAGAAAATCAATGTCATCTAGTCTACTTCGCAGACCATATATGTTCCATGTACATATTGATGACAGAAGACAATTTGACTTCACTGTCCGATGTATTAATGACATGGCCTGGGAGAATACGACTTTATTATACCAAGAAAACATTTATTGCACAGTTAATTATCACTAAAATATGATTCAGTACTCCGTCTCGAAGAGTTACTGGTGCACAAGATGGACAAGATGAAAAGTATCTACATTAATCGGAACGCAATTCTGGCGGTAGTCCTTCAGATTGTCCTTGCGAAGGATCTGCATTCTGATATTGTGTAGTAGAGCCAATATTCCTGTGTAGAGTGCAAAGATGATGGGATAATCAAGGCGAATCTTGATCGGGCCCTTTGTTGCCGAGAGACGTTTACTGTGTTTTTTGTGAATCCATCCCACTGGACTGCACTTCAACCTACAGGATCTGTCGGGGTTTTCGAGCAGTATGGGCTTCTCCATTGATTGACTATGATTTGTCAGGAAGATATATTACTCTATATGTCCAGAATTATTTAATTATTTAAAACAACTTTTATTACCGGGTTCCGACTTGCGGAATCTGGAATGGGTAATGTTTGATTTTGATTACTGTTTAAACCACAATTTACGTACACTTGTTATAATGCAGTGGTATAACGGATGTATCTTTCAAATATTTTAATGGAGTATTGATGAATGATGTCCATTTGCATATTTAATGTCATGTCTCAAAGAAAAGTTTTGACAAGATAGGAACATCACAAATCTTGTTCTATTGGTACATGAACCTCAACGAGGAGTTTTCCTAGATTCCAAAATGTTGTATTTTATTTTTAATATACAGCTGGATAGTTGTTTACGTTGTCAGACAATGACTAGTGTGCCCGAACAAGATTCGGGTTTTTGTTTGTTTGTTTGCTTGTTTGTTTTGTTTGTACGATTACGTTCAACAAACCCGGAATGTTACGAATTTGGGGGATTTAAGGACGCTTGATGACTACTGTTAAGATCCGATTTTTCAGGATGTTACTCAAACCCATGACAAAGCCATCTGGAGGTGGTTGATTTCTTTCTCAAAACGTTCTCGGAATTTAAGTTAAAGAACGAAGTATGACAAAGGTCCCTTGTGGTCCACTAGAACATCAACTTTTAGGAACGAATGAAACCAGCTCCAATTTTCGATTGCCTTCCCTTGTTTCCAGCTTTTGTTATCTTATTATCCCCCGCCACGAAGTGGAAGGGGGATATAGGGATGGGTGCCGTCCGTCCGTCCTTTCGTCCTTCCATCCTTCCATCCGTCACGTTTCGTTTCCGGAGCAAAAAACCGTACCATATTTCTTCACCAAACTTGGCACATAATGTCATCTCGCAGTATTGAATACATTTTCCATTCTTGTTGGTAAGTTCTGCATTGCTTGTGTGTATGTTCCTCCAAAAGTGTCATGGACACGGTTGTTGAATTCATTGACTCACTTTATGCAGAAATACAACTCATTACAAATACAACAGTGTCACTGATCTTAAACCTACTCAACTGTGTAAACAATATATATATTCTGGTCAACCATACTTTGTACTACACTTGCTTGATAACGGTGTCAGAACCTACACCGAAATCATCGATCCTAATTGTAATTAAGAAGTTGTTTGTCCATTTGTCTCCTCCTTACTCATTCGAAATACAGTTACATATTCTATCATTAACTGCAGATGGGTAACAACACCAGTAATAACTTTTTTTAGTGCTGCAAATAAGGCCATTTACAAAAAGGCCCAGTGAACATAGTTCACAGGAGCTAATGCATTGCACACAACCGGACATGTCATATTGGCGGGGGATGTGAGTATTTCATGCTTGTTACTTTTGTTGTTCTTACATGTACATATATATGCTCTCTGCCTCATGGCATTCGTTCACCTGATGAAGGAGTAAGCATATACTCCGAAACGTTGTGTTCCTTATGATAAAGAAGTTGACATCCATAAATTCACTTCCTTATCTTTATCACTTCTAAATGCCTTTCAAAGACTTAAACCTTTGAAATTTTAATAAAATTGATAGGGAATGCCAATATCATGGAACGTATTTTTTTCTTACAACACATATTTGTTTTACTAAAATCAAAATCAAATGTAGAAGTTGGTAATTAAGGATGGTTCTATGGGCTTTCGGGAAGTGGTGTTTCTGATATTTGAACATGAGAAGGCGGGGTCTTAGCTGATGTTTTCAGAAGACGCCGGGACATTGAAAACATGATAATGGACTTGGACTTTCTCAAAGTTTGAAACAAGACTCGACTATCAGATTATTGAAGGATTAAATAAGAGGCCGCAATGATATAGCAGGACTGTTGCTGAAAAAAATCATTCACTGACTCTTATATGCCATCACAGGCAGACTGTGTAATCCATGATATACATGGTGATGCATCAGGGTATTGCAGGTGCAACACAGGAGTGAGTGAGTGAGTGAGTGAGTTGGGTTTAACGCCGCTTTGAACATTATTCCAGTTATATCACGGCGTGCCAGCTTAATGTGGGAGGAAAGCCCGAAGTGATGCAGGTCTAAGACGTTTACCACTTCGGTGAAACCCACGAGCGCGGGTATGGTGGTGACAAACCTAGAAACATAATCGGGGCGAATAGGGATTCGAACCCACAATCATAGGTTTCTGGTGTGCCCAAGGGACGCATCTCTGCACAGCGAATCGCGGCGCCTTAGACGACTGGGCCACCCGTGCCCCCTACAACACAGGAGCTACTCAGGGTGATCGATTATAAGTGTGAACTGAAGTATTCAAAAACAAGAGAGCCGATGTTCATTGTCGCCCAATGCCAAAACTATCCACTCCCCACTCCCACAAGTAACCTGTGTTCGTGGACTGAGAAATTCAGGGGTGCAACGTGTTCATAAAGACATATCCTGGCAAAAAAGGTCTGCCACCTTCATTGCGTATAGTGAGGCCGGCACATTTCTGATTTCAATATGTCAATTAAAATCGAAAATCACAAAATGTTTTTTTAAAAATTTATTTGCAACTGAAATGATATTGATATATTACATATGACATATGTCAAGAAACTAGGTCACTGAATAAAAAAAATAAAATAACTGTGATTGGTATAAGTAAACTTTTATCCAGCGAGTGCAATTCAGACAAATCCATGCACCAGGATAGCTAAGTCATGGTTTGTATCTGATGCTACACCAAAACAGACAGGCCTTGGTTTGGGTCTGGTATTTCACCAGGACTACCAGGTCATGGTTTTGGTATGGTGCTACACAAGAAGAACTAGGTCTTGGTCTGGGTCTGACACTACATCAGGAGAACCAGGCCATGGTTTGGGTCTGACACTACACTAGGACTATCAGATCAAGGTTTTGGTAAGGTTCTACACCAGGAGAACCAGGTCATGGTTTGATATTACACGTGGAAAGCCAGGTCCAAAGTTTGTTATCTCCCTACTTAAAAAACCTTTTAAAGTGAATCTATCATAATCTGCAAATAAAATGTTTATCATACACTCTCAAAAAAAAAAGAAACGCACAGTTAGATTTTTAGTAAATTTATTGTCCCTCATAAAGTCGATATATTAAATTTAATATCATAGATACAAATGCAAAATTTTGGAGCACAACATGTTGTCGTTGTACAAAGGCATTGAAAACTGTTCCTTGTCATGTCACATAAGGCCACAAGGTGGCGCTGAACTCCGCGGGCAGTAATCACGGCTCTGCATCTCCTCGGCAACAACTGGATAAGTGTACGAATTCTGTCCTACGGAATTCTGCGCCATTCTGCTTGTAACGCGTTTGTCAGTTGTGGGAGTGTCGATCAGATGTCCCAGATGTCCCAGATGTGTTCGATTGGGTTGACATCTTGAGATCTCGACGGCCAGGGCAAGACGTTGATGTTGGCATTATGAAGGTAGTGTACCGTGACACGAGCTCCCTCTGGCGGTCAATGATTGGAAGAAGATGAGGTTGAAGAATTTGATTCATGTAGCGATTTGCTGTCACATTTCCCTGAACCACAACCAAGTCAGATCTCGTGGTGTAGGATATGGCTCACCACACCATGACACAAAGGTCACAAAGGCGGCAAATGGTGCTGTGGTGGACGTTGAAGTGGCGTGTAACAGAAGACTGCGATTCCCTCTTTGGATACGTCCTATGGCGATGTTCCGACCGGCAGCGCTGAGTCTCGGCATTTTGGAACTTGAAAAATGTTGACAATTGAACGACAAATTATTGGCTTATGCTTGCCTTTTTGTAGCAACTGTTTTCCTCTATGACATTTTTGAACAAGTGTGACAACAATGCCGTTTAAGACATTGCAAATCGACAATGGCTGCGCTCTGACGCACCGTTTGTCAAATACCAGGCCACCAACATTTTCCAATAACATATATCCAATTTATATACCGGATTTTTTGTGTACTCAGGTTCAATGAACTACATACTACCTGTGCGTTTCTATTTTTGAAGAGTGTATATAGATATCTGTGTATTTTCGCTGTGACAATGTTTCTTATTTCTTGCTGTGTCGTGTGAAGTAACGAACGCTTTGAGCTTCAAATAACTAAAGCACATGAATAGGACGTGAGCACTGTCACCATCAACGTTAGGAAATGTAGTTGGAGGAGTGGAGTGAGGTTGAGGATTGTAACAATTGCGGTAATGGTACATAGGTAGTTCTATAGTATTCTGGGCATATTTACCTTCCAAACATGCAGATTATGAGCTCTTTTCGACATAATGTCAAGCCGGAAACGCCCACCAGCTCCCAGATTGAGCTGATTGGAAGGGATGTGGAATCCTTAAGGGAAGCAGCTTTAACCTGAGGTCGAACTTGTGAATGTGACTGTTATATTTAAAGGTGAGAGGTGAATCCATAAAGGATAATTGAAGAAGGGACATACTTCTGGCTTCAGCTTGTACTTCAGCTCTCAATGCGTTAATACTATAACGATTTATCGTCGGGTGATACTGGTTATGTGGGAAATCCTACTCTTTTCGCGATCACCTTTGTCATCACTGAGTTTGATCCATTCACATACCTTTCACAGCTGTTTGACCTTTTACGCCCATTGGAATCTGTTTCGGCAGATATTCGAGACAGTTTTTTCTTTGGCTTGACGTTTTATGTTTATAGTGAGTGCTTTAAGACATATTCCAGCAATATCACGGCTGGGGACACCAGAAATGGGCTTCACACATTGTACCCATGTCGGGATTCGAACCCGGGTTTTCAGCGTGACGAGCGAACGCTTTAACCACTAGGCTACTCGACCGCCCCTTTATGTTTATACGCAGCTGGGCTTTTCGTTAACCATCACATCTTATATAACATAAAGATCAGTAGCTGTAGTCTCAAACAATTTCTGTTTCGCCCGTCCGCTCATTCTGGGAGTGAGCTTATGAATCACAAAAAGATTACATGAAATGAATACAAACAACAGATTAAATATATCAGTACAAGTACAAACTATAATTCTTGATTTCTGATTTCTGAAAATATGTCATCATTATGATTATGACAATGAATGGGCTCAATTCTGAAAAACGTGATTGGTGCAGCAGCTGGGCTGTTCCCATGAGAATTCCACTCCGTATGATGGCATATCACTGGCATTTGATTGGCGATCAGATGATAAAAACAATATTCACGTGGAGAAAAGCCAAAGCAAAGTTCATTATGAACTTTAACCAGATGCAATAATTTATCTTTGAATGATCTCACGAGGGTCACTGTATTTACACAACCCAGATAACCATTACACAGCTTGGGTTGAAATTGAAAATGTATGGTGAATACTTCCGAGTATACAATGCGATATTCTGCCAGTGAGGAGCTCGTTGGGGTCATCTTAGGGTCACAATTCGCTGCACAGAGTTGCGTCCCTTTGGCGAGCCAGGCACCTATGACCTTGAACTCAATAGGACCGTCATGTTTCCAGGTTTGTCAGCGCCATACCCGTGCTCGTGGGTTCACCAAAGCGGTAAACGTCTAAAACATGCATCAATTCGGGCTTTCTTCCTCCTGAAGCCGACACGTTGTGATATAACTGGAATACTGCTCAAAGTGGCATTAAACCAAACTCACTCATCACTCACTATCGAAACAGGCGGCGTTAATTGTTGGTGCTTTCTTCCAGTACCGTCTTCAGCCAATACAAACATGTAGGACATGGGGTGGTGTAGAAGGAGTAAGATGTCCCGTGGTGGCGTGTCCGTCGTGTGCAGGAAGACAACGCATAGGTCATAGAACTCTCAGACAAGGACAGTGATGTTCAGTTCATATTCCACAAGTTATGCCTTGATACCT